TGTGTGTGTGTGTTCGTGCGTGTACGTGTGTGTATGTATTCGAGAAATAAAAGGGAATGAATGCATTATCGGAGTGAGGTGTATGCACGCACATGTGTGTGCTTACATTATGATTGAGTGTCTGTGTTAAATAGTCAGAGAAAAACAGAGACGGCGCTCTTCTTGTCATGCTTATGTTTTCGTATTCCTTAAAGCTGGTGATAATTTGCAGAAACATAGAGATGTATGTCAGGGTAGTATACTTCATCCCAGAATAACACCGAACGCTGGCTTTAAAAAGATCAAGCAAGGCAAGGTGTAGTGGTTGCAAATGTTGCTAAATTTGCTGAGGGAAAATTAAATTAGGCATGCCTTTTTTTCTGGAACTGGAAAATGGTGGCAAAAGTACCATACAAACGTCAACTTAAAAAATAATTTTACAAGAAGCCGTTCTTCGAAAAAAAGTTACCTCTGTTCGTATTCGGGAGTACATTGAGAGGTTTTAGAGTGGCAGTACCCTTGGGTAGTTTGAAGGGTATGAAGAAGCACTGGTATTCTTACCTAATATAATCACAGAAAGAGTTTAGAAACATTTGCGTTTCTACGTTATTATAATAAGAAAATAAAACGTGATTTGCATGGTTTTCACGAAAAGTCATTTGTGCAAGACCGGGAGTGTAACATTTAAAATCTCATAACAATACTATACGACAAAGGCAGTGAAATAGGACTACATGACATGTTTGATTTAGGTTCTTGAAACGTATAAATTTGACATTTCTCCAACGTTGAGTGTCTTGGTAATACACGTATGTTTTCTCTTGTCTCCACAGGGTGCATTTTTTGTTGTCTTCTATATGTTTCTGCATGAAGAGGTAAGTGGTTTTGATCACAACTATAGCTGTACAGCATTTTACCATTATTTGGTTTTGAAATATAAGCATGGGTTATTATCACAGAACCCCTTTTCTTTAGTTCGCTTTGTAGAATATGTTCTAAAGTAATTTCTGAACAGCTCTTTGGGTGTAAGTGCCAAAATGCACTCTGTATTTTCTATGTCTGCCTTATGCTATATCGAAAAGGACATATTCCAATAAATTGTGTAATTCCTTTTCAGGTACTCTGTGTTAAGATATTATAACTTACGAAAAAAAAAGCATAAGCGTTTACAGAAAAAAAAATATTTTCTTTTCTTTATTAAAATAAGATCTGGCTCCTTCAAAACAATATAAATGTGAGGCAACGTGGTGGGATCAGGCTGTCGTCAATTTTTGGGCATGTAGAGCTACTCGTATCATCGTAAAGCTTGTTCACTTGTCTTTATTTGGAGGAAAAAATATATATTTATCTTGAATACAAGTCGAGATATTTGCGAGAGAAAGAGGTGGGGGTCACCTGTTTTCAGAGGTAAAATGAGTGAGAAAATGGCCGCCAAAGATTATTTGATTCCTTAGTTTAAGAGTCCGTGGTAACTGAATATTTATATAATTTCTGTGCCTTTAATCAACGCTTTTCAGAAAAATCCACACAGAAATGAGTTCTTTAATGGGTATGAAAAGTGTTGAGCCAAAAAATAAATTGATAAAAATTCACAAACCTGCGGAAAAATGTAAGTTTCTTCGCTTTGATTATTTTGACGAGAGCCTGATTCCACCACGCTGCCTCACAAATAATATTCGAAGTTGCTTTTCCCAGCAGCTTGGTCTGGCAATACTCCATTGGTAGGTGAACTCAGACAAATTTGACTCATCCCATTTCTGTAGTAGCCCATATAAACTAACATAAATCCCCCTCCCTTTCCCACTTTTCCACCATCCCCACCGCCATCAACCCCAACCACCACCGCCTCATCTGGAAATAGTGGGCATCATATTTTGTATCAGCTTACTTTTGTAATTGTTAACATGTTTACATGTCGCTACCTCAGAATTACACAGTTCTATCTGCACAGTACCTAGTTTTGAGAAATTTACATCAAAGATTTGAAGTTTTACATCTTGTCAAGTTTTTTTTCTAGTGGAAGTCTTTGTATTTCTTGATAACGACTGTGGATAATCTTAGTTTTGAAAGAGCAGATAGAACATTGATTGGTTTCTGACCTCAAGGTTTTAGTCACTCAAAAACGGCCAAAAATGTCAAATTCTTAGGTAGCGATGTCATGTAATATCGTGTAATGTGTTAAGTCCTGCAAACACAGCCTCAGACACACAATCAGGGAAGTTTTAACAGGGAGCAAGTACTAAATGAACGGGGTGCCTGGAGGAGGGTGGGGAGAAAGAGTTGACGAGAAAAAATTTTGTGCTTGTCAGTTTGTAATAACCTGTGTGCCATTATATTATGACGGTTGCGTTCTTCGCCCTCCCGCTAAACCACTGAGTTCAAGTCCCTTGTGGTGAGGGTGTTTCATTGAGAATCTCCGCCCTCCTGCTAGAATGCATTATCCCATTTAGCTTGCATAGGCCCTGATGGGCAGAGTTAGAACAACCCGCATCCTAGAAGATCTAAAGTGTTCAGAAAAGGGCAGGGGTACGGTGGCGGGAGAGAGGGGGTGGGAGATGGAGAGATAGAGAGGGGGAGAGAGAGAGAGAGAGAGAGAGAGAGAGAGAGAGAGAGAGAGAGAGAGAGAGAGAGAGAGAGAGAGAATGGGGGATGGGGACTAAATAACAAGAAACGCCCACTAAATACATCATCTGAGATCCGCCGTCTACTTCTACACGCTAGCTCTTGTGTGCACACTGATAGAAGTCTAGAAACAGAAACTGGCTTAAGCCAACTTTCTAAAATATGTTCAGTTCTTTTCTCGTCTTTATCTATGAATTTTGATCATTATACATGTAAGTTTGTAAGACAATGAGGCGGCTCAATACTCAAAGACAAAAGTGGTCTGTTTTGTTCCGTGGCCCCAAATAGAATACTGCAATGGCCAAATCTTATACGGGTTGTTACTTCTAGACTTAACAAAATCTGCCACCACATAATCTCGTTTTAGGAAGTTGGGGAAAATGGAGCATCTGGCGCTACTGCCAGCAGGTATTTTCATTGGCTAAACCCGTAGCGGAAATTCAAGAGTTCCTTCCCTTGACGTAACACCGCGATTTTCTGTTCCCCTTAACTGGTTGTCGCAAAAATCGAATAATCTAAAGCAGCAAGTCTGTTGTTTTCTCTTAATCAAATTTTGTTTCAGAAAAGAAATAAAAAGCTCTGTTCAGTTGCTCTCAATGCTTTCCTATCTTAGATCCCCTTTCCGACAAAAACTGTATAACAAAGTCTTCTAAACTTTGAAAGCTTGCACTGGCTGATGTTTAACTGAAAAGGGACTATACTTGTGAAATCATTAGGGTTGTTTCAGACAAAAAGAAGAGTTTAAGTCGAGATCTCTTGAAGCCCTTAAGTAGAGCCTGGTGGCTGTCTGTGGGGAGTAGCACCATCCGGTGAACCGCTCGGAACAGAGAATTGTGTTGATCTAAAAAACAGCCTTAAGAAAACAGCGCCATCAGGATGCGTCTGCGAGCCCTTGAGAGAGGCCGGTGTTCAGTGAATTAGACACCCCCGGTGTTCAGTGAATTAGACAGGCCCCGGTGTTCAGTGAATTAGACACCCCGGAGTTGTTTTGTCAACCAGTCAACAATTAACTGAGAGGGACAACGTCTCCCTTCCGCCCCCGCTTGTTAGTCAAAGGGAACTCCACCCCTATGTGCAGCACCCGTATTATTGTTGTACGTATGTGTGCAATCATTGTTGACTCATCTCTGTCGTTCTGTGTAGTATGTATATGGCTGTGTTTTTGGGGGTGAGAGGATGGTTGAGTAGATGGGTGCTTGGTTGGATCGATGTGAATGAGAGTTTCTCTCTCACACTTTTTCTCTCACTTCCTTTCTCCCCCC